CCACAGAGAGCCAGGACTTCCGAAGGACGGTGCCTTCTTACAGGTATAGCGTGCCTGTCACTGTTATTAGGAGGCCATGACTGGTGAAAATTTGTCCAGGACACGGGCTAACACTCTGTTTTTTCTTTTTGAGAAATACCCCAGGATTTTTAATGACCACGGAGAGTCAGGGCCTCGGTTTTACGTCTCATCTGAAGGACAGCGCCTTTTTTACAATATAGTGTCCCCATCACTGTACTGGGGTATAAGAACCCACACAGACTGCTGGGTGAGAACCCTCTGCTGGCCCCACTAACACCTCTTCCAGCAGCAACCTTAGCTTTCTCATGAGGTCTCCCATCCAGGTACTGACCAGCCTCACACCTGCTAAACTTCACTGGGCTGCCAGTTGTGAGCTGCAGGGGGATACAACAGCAGCTGCCGAATTCAACAAGCAGTGCTGCTAGTGCTACTGTTCTTTGACACTCTCGTGGTGATACCTGAGGAGCACATGAGCCAAGAACAGATAATCGAATAAATATATCCGATGTTTTCTTAGTGTGGTTTTGTAGAACATCTGAAAAATAATGGTTACCACTCAATAATCCACTAATCTACCGAAGAAAAATGTGATTTTGCTTTACAAGCTTGCAAAGTAGAGAGGTTTTTTTGCCCCACTGCAGAATCGCTGAGCAAGTTCTAGTGATGATGTTAGAAACGAAGAGGGGGTCTACCCCCGTCTCCCCACCGATTCCAGAATGGAACCGTATCTCTTTAAGAGTCATGTAAACAAAGAGTTTGCGGAATGTTCCTCCGCGGTCGGATTCTGCAACCTTGCGTAGCGCGCAGCGCCCTTGCAGCCCGCGCGAACGGCGCTGCGCAGGAAGCGCAAGGGCCCGACAGCGCCGGGATAACTCGGCGCATGCGCTGTGTCGTGGGGGGGAGTGAGCGAGCTGAGCTGAGCATGAATGGAGCAAAATGGCGGATCATGTGCAGGTAACCAGGGTTTATGTTTTGGAAATGTGAAAACGCTATCCTTAGCGGTGCGTGCGTCTTCATCTAGGGATCCGAGGGACGGGGCGAGGACGCGGTGTGGAAACGGCGGCAGGCGAGGCGGGAAACCGAGGCGCGGTGCAGGCGGCGCGGCGTGTTTTGGATGCGATTGTGGAAGAGTGTTGACTTGTGGCCTGTCATCATGTCCATTGCTTTGACATGATTCAGAAGTGTGGAGAACGGAACGGACGAGATAATATTACGGCGAGGGGGGAGGAAGAGGCGAGCCGTGCGTCCCACGGGGGTTCAATACCGTGCGTCGGTTTCGCCGCGGGGGCGTGAATGTGGAGCCCGGAGCCGGCTGGTGTTGGAGTCAGTCCTTGCAAGTAAACACGACAGCATTGCATTGCTTTAGGTCTGGCCTGCTGCTCGTTTTGGGGGGGGGGGAGAAATTTATTGTCGTTTTCCAAAGGAGAAACTTTTGCAAACCAAAAACGGATGGAAAAAAAAAAACAAAGACGCATTTTGGCTCGCTGTTTTATTTTTGTTTTTGCGGTATATTTAAAAAAGGGGGAGAGATACACGAGTTGCTGGTTTGCCTTAAAGGAACGTGTCCTCTGACATCAGCCCACTTTCTCTGACTCTCACTTAGGGCAGTAGTTTCGTTTTTGTTGACGACCGGTGAACACGTTAACGTTTCCTTCGCGCTGTAGTGCACACAGCGGGGCGATTATAACACCATTTCTCCAGCTGCAGCTGTTTCTGGTAGAAATTCCAGTGCGATCCCTATTCGTATTCGCGAAAGGCGGTAGAGAGCTGTGCATCTTTGCTCAAACAGCGATGAATAAATAACAGCAAGCGAAGTACCTCGTTTTTTCTTCCTCGTTAGAGAGCAGCGTGCCTGTGTGGTATAATTTAATCACAGTAGACGGAGAGATTGAATTAGTAATGACTAGGCACTGTAATCCCTCGATTTCAGACTTGAACAGGTGGTTAACCCCTCTTTTGAACCGCTGGGGAAATTGCACGCGTTGTGAGTTTCAAATTGATGTCTCTGCGCGAAGGGTACGCCTTCCGTCTCTGTCATCAGCCTCGTCGAGCACGGACGCCGGTTCGGAAAAAAGAAGGAAAGCTGCAAGAAATGTTGTTGTTGGTTTTTTTTTTAAATTGTTGGGACGCAAAAAGTAGGATCATGGCGGTAATCGACGTTAACGTCAGCTGACTCTACAGCGAGGCCGGTTCCGGCTGTGTTTTCAACGGCTGTCGCCATGTGACGTTAGCGCGATAACTGCTGCCGCGGGGTGGACTTGTATCCTGACCGATTGACAGAAATGTCGAAATGCGTGCTGTTCATTACGCCAGGCGGTCATCTCAAAGTGGCGGTAGTCGTTAAATGCATGCACGTTTATGCCGCCTCCGAGTGATTGTTTGTTAAGGTCACTGTAAAGGGGTCACGTCAGATTCAGCGAGTCTTGTTTACCGACTGTGGGGTGTGTTGGGAAATGTGTATGTGTGCGGAGGGTTAGGGGTGCGTTTATCGTGCGGTAGCTTTGTTGGTTAACAACGGAAGGGTTGCCCTTAAAGGACCTGATTGTGGAATTGCTTTCACAGACTGACAGGAAATCGCAGTGAGTTTGTAGAAATGGGTAAAGTGCGCAGAACAACAATTGCCTGTTTCAGTTTCAGGTGTCTGAACGCAGAAAAAGGTCATTCGTATGATGAGGACCTTTAAATGTTTTGCCCGGCATTGTATTTAACCTAGCACTAGGAGAAATGTAGCTTAGACTTTTTCTATGAAGCTGTTCATGTTTGGATCACCAGTTATACATAATGACAGCTCTAGTATAGTAATAGTTGCTTGCTTGCCCACTTGGTTGACACACAGCAGTCATTCTGCACCAGCAGCCCCACCTGGGAGAGACACAGTGGTCATTCTGCACCAGCAGCCCCACCTGGGAGACACACAAGTGGCCATTCTGCACCAGCAGCCCCACCTGGGAGAGACACAGTGGCCATTCTGCACCAGCAGCCCCACCTGGGAGACACACAAGTGGCCATTCTGCACCAGCAGCCCCACCTGGGAGACACACAGTGGACATTCTGCACCAGCAGCCTCACCTGGGAGACACACAGTGGTCATTCTGCACCAGCAGCCCCACCTGGGTGACCCACCTGCACTGCAGATCAGGAAGAGGACTGAGAAAGTGCCTCACTTCTTTATATCAGGGGTAACCGTATTGAGGTCAAATTGTTCAAGTCTGGAGTGGAAGTTAAACAGAGCCCTGGGGTTAACCTTAGCTACATTTTCCTCTCGTCCAACAAGGGGGGGGACCGTATACTCTTAGCACATATGCGCTTAGTAGACAGCCTTGTTAAAGTGACTGAGGAAACTGACATTGTGTGTGAACAGTCTTGACACAATAATGTCCAGATAGATGAATTGCTCTTTCCTGTGGAAGCCTTCCTAATTCAAATGGCATTGTTACGAGTCACACGGGCCCTCCTGGTCCACCTCACTGCAGGGGGTCGCAGCAGGCAGCTCCCGGCTGCAGTGGGCGAGAGAGGGCGTCTCGTTCGGAGGGAGTGCTGGCTCCCAGCAGCGACAGCCCAAGTGAAAAGAGGAAAAGCTCACAGGCCTCAGCAGTGTTGTAATTCGACCATGACGTGCTGGAGCAAGAGCTGTTGAGAAAGTGAGCCGGGATCCTTCATTAACTCACCGGCACTCGCTTTTTGTAGGCCTGCGTTTCATCAGCAGCCATACCGGGCAAGCCATTGACTTTCAACAACAAAGCCGAGGTGAGGGATTATCGTGGTTCTGTATCAGGGTGTTAATCTGTATGCAGTAATTAAATTAATCTGCTTTGCGGTTCGAACAGCCTTTTGATGTTCCGCTATGAATAAAATATTTTCTCAGGGTTTTCCTTTCACCCGTCAGTGTTCAGTTTGGCTCCTCCTGCCACAGAGCTGTCAGGTCTCGTTGCCTTCACGGTGCTGGGATAGAGACCACGCTGGCTGTTGGGGGAACAGACTGGTTTTATATCCTGGACGGAAACACAGAAACAGGGCGGGATTCCGTCTTCACCTTTTCTCCGCTTTTGTATCTTTTATTCCCACCCGAACGTCGCTCTCTGGGTCGCTGAGAAAGGTTCCTTGTGGTCAGATTTGGACAGCTCTCCTGCCGACCGCAGGATCTGAAGCCCTTTAATGAGATTATCGAAAGCGAGGATAAAAGCAATAGAGGAAAGTAAAATGCAAACCAATCCATTCAAACGGGAACAGGTTTTCTGGGGCTGGATTAAATCGCGACGGCGACCCACCTCCCCGATGGCACTTCTCTGGTGTGGCTTGACAGTGGCCCTCGTTGTCACCACTTGTCTGCGTACCTGCAGTCCTGAGTTGGAGTTTCTGAAAATAAGTATTTTGCTGTGAAAATAAAAGCATTGTGTAGTGAGATGTGGGGAATGAAAAGGAGCAAAACCTTCAATGAGGAAATTTGTGTGGCTAAAGAGATGTTTAAAAATAGGCCCTGCTTCTCAGCGCCGGGACCCTGGGTTCAATTCTTTCAGATAAGAGAGAGAGATCACTTAATTGGCCATATACAGTTTAGGAATTTGTCTGTTCGCAGACCCCAGCTTGCTCTCCAGGAGACACACAGACAGGGAGAGAGGCTGGGGGTCAGAGCACAGGGTCAGCCATTTATATGGCGCCCCTGGAGCAGTTGGGTGAAGGGCCTTGCTCAGGGGCCCAACGGAGTAGGATTCCTCTGCCGGCCGCGGGATACGAACCTGCAACCTTCCAGCCACAGGCCCAGATCCTTAGCCACAGAGCTGCCGCACCGCCCCCTGGACTTTCTAGACCCTGGGTGCTGACTTTGTGGAGTTTGTGTGTTCTCCCTGTGTTCATGTTGCTTTCTTCTCACAGTCCTAAGACATACTGGTGGGTTAATTGGCTTCTGGGAATGGCCCGGTGTGAGTGTGTGTGTGTCTCTGCGTGTTCCCTGAGATGCAATGGTGTCCTGACCAGGGTGCACCCTGCGTTGCACCCGTTGCTTGCTGGGATACACTCAGGGCTCCCCCGTGACTGAATTGTAAGAAGTGGTTAGAAAACAGATGGATGTTTTAAAATAGGGAGTAGCTGAACAGGCAACGGGCCAAACAGTCTACAAGGTAAATCCTTTGCAGGTCCAGAAGATTTGGTGCTGTGGTGGCATCCAGGTGGTCAGTTTTGTGACCTCAAAGTTCTTGGGTTCGATATCGGATGGGGGCACCTCCTGTGCTCTTTCTGTGGGGAGTTTGCATGTTCCCCCCCTGCAGTTTTTATTTTGAGGTCCAGGTGCACTAGCTGTCCTTCCCAGCCAAAAGACATATGCTGGTGAAGCTGCAACATCGTCTCTGTTCATGGATGGATGGATAGGAGCTTCTGTCTTGCTTGTCTGCCTCTGACCCCTCAGACAGAGGGTTTCTGCTGGGCTTGGTGGTGCTCGCTGCAGCTTAGAAGTTCATTACTATGGGTTGACAACATGGTGTCTGTTCTCGAGCAGTCGCTGCCAAGGCAGTCACAACATTATTAATCTAGTGTGTTATCTCGAGTGTTGAAAGCATGTTTTTTTTTCTTTTAAGGCATGTTAACATTTCTTAATTAGGAGAGCTGGGCCAGTTCACCAGCTTTCCACTATTGGCTTGGGAACAGTTTCCAGACAGCTCTTGTCTTGTGGCTCTTTCTAAATAAAAGTAGTTTTGATGCAGCTTTATTTTCAGCAGAAGTGTTTGTTCTGGTGATTTAATGAATTTTAAAGACAAGGAGTATTAATACCAAAGACCAGAGTGTCTGTGGTATAAATGCACAGAGAGTGGCTGAAAAAGAGCTTCAGATGTTGTGTTGTAGAAACTAGAGATGAGATTTTTGGGATGAGTTCCTAGAAATTGTCAGCGTGGTGACATTGAGATAACAGGAGCATCATGCAAAACTGCACCGATTAGCTGTCATCTCCCAAGTTTGCAGAAGAAAATTCTGCGTTGCCAGCACTGAGCACATTATAACCTTAACCGAAAACAGTACTGCCATCATTCAGAATACTCCCTATTCTAAGGGTGATGCTGTGAATCAACAGAGAGGGCTGGAATTACATGTAGTGTGTTGCTGTCATTTGAGAATTATGTGAGATTTTTTTTTTAAAGTTGACCTTTCTGTATCATTAAAGTATACTACTCCTACGGTTTATGGAAACTAGCTGCTTTAAAATTGAAATGAAGTTAACGAAACACACATGAGTCTTTACACCGAGAAGCTCAGGGGTTTGTATTATGAAAGGGAATTGATCCCACCCTGCCCAGCAAGGCTTATAAAGATGCTCTGTGTCCGACTTCTTTCGTAGAGGATCTGGCTTTCCTGTGACAAAACCCGTTCAGCTCAACAAGTTGCTGAAAGTCAGTCCACCTTGTAGAACGCAGAGGGATTTCCCTCAGTTTCCTTGACTTTTAACTTTAAAACACGCTCGTGACCGGACCACAGACGGCCTCCAGGAGGTGATGCAACCGACAAGCTGATATCTGGAGGCACGTCTTTGCGCAAAGGGTGGTGGGAGCGTGGAACGAGCTTCCCCGCCATTTAGTTGACGCTGGATGAGATCCTAGAGTTAATTAGCTACTAATGACTCTATGAGCTTAAGTGCCTCTTCTCGTTTCTTTCCTTCTTAAGTACTTATGTGTGCTGTCTGAGGTTTCTGTTCACGCCAAATTTATTAGGTTATCTAAGATGTTTTAAACGAAATTATATTTTATGAATCGGCTGCAAAAAGAGTTTCCTGGAATATTCCGATTCAGGTTACCAATGAAAAGATTTAAAACGATGAACTTTATGGTTGCTCTTCTCTGACTGGATTCCAGAGCAGCGGTATCATTATTGTAAAGCCGTGACTAAAATGGTGTACAGCTCTCTAAACGAGGTCTTGCTGAACCCTCTGTCCAGCTAAATCGGCTTCCTTCCTGCATTCGCACTTTCCACTGGGTGCTAATTAAGAGATGCCGATTTCTGCTTATTCCTCCAGTCCTTCGGGTTCTTGAGCTTTAATCATCTTAGTCGGGGTCATTATGAACGCGACGGCACAATCCAGCCTTTAATCATTTCACGCAGCTCAGCTGAAAACGTCTCCCTGCTGTCCCATTTGGAAATGAGCTTCCGCTTGCTGTGTGCGTCACCACGTTCTCAGAGGGAAGAGGTGAAAATGAGCGAGAGGGTTGAGGAGGATTTTGCCTTTCCCCGTGTTCCTTTTGGAATTTTCCTGAGGCCTGCGCACAGTCAGCCCTTCCAAGATGGCGCCTTTGCAGGCGAAGCACGATTCCGTTAACAGATTTAAAAACAGCTCCTCAAAGTGCAAGCCCATGTCCGCGCACACAGTCGTGTTTCTGCGCGGTCCGCGATTGAGGTTTCTGCACTATCCCGTCCCCGGGTGCATGAGTCATATGAAGTCGGCAGCTCGCCGTGACCAGGGCCTCTTGTGATGACACAGGCCTGCTGCGCAGTCGGGGCCGGATTTTGGTGTCCGTAGGCCCCAGGCACTTTCACTCCGAAATGTGCAGAAAGAGGGATGTACGCCGATTGATAAGACGTCGACTGACATGATGCAGGCGACTGATGGAGCGAGTCGAGTGGCCAACACTTCGATGTTCTAGTTTCTGGAACAGCCGCTAGACAGTGTGTGATTATTGATCTGGAGCACCCAGAGTCGAACGCAAGTGTGTTGTTCCAGCTCGTTTTTCATTCGTCGCTAGCGTTTTCCTCCTTCGTAGGCCCCAGGCACTGTGCCTGTAGTGCCTCATGGGAAATCTAGCGCTGTGTGGAGTGGCAGGGGCGTGTGGAGCGAGACACTGGGGTTCCCCCCCGGCCCCGTGGCCCCAGCACGCTGGGAGGATTGCGTTCCTGCTGTGCCCTGGGTTAAGGAATGGAGCGCGTAATCGGATTGAGAATTATGTTCTACTGGACCGTTCGCTCGTCTGGGTGGCCGAGCAGAGCAGTCAGGGTCCTGGCTTGTGGAGCGATGGTCAGGGTGTTGGACTAGTGACTGGGAGGTTGTGGGTTCAAGTCCAAGGTGGGGCACAGCTGTGGGTCCCCGAGCGAGGTACAAAACTCTAGTATTCTCCGGTAAAATCACCTGCCGCTTTTTTTTAATCAAAGCATCAGCCACATGTATTAGTAATGAATGCCTTATTTAGACCTGTTTAGCAACTCTAAAAGAAGAAGTTTGGGTACGTGGTCAGTTCAGTAACTGATCATTCAGTTGGAGCAGGGCTAGGATTCAGAAAACAAACTGGCGTGTTGATTTTAAAAAAATGCAGACCTGTACCAGCTACAGAGAACATGTTTGTTTGGGGTCTGGTGGGGGTGGGGGGGGTGCTTCTTATCAATCCTTCTGCCCCTGTTCAGCTGCGTTAGCAGCGTGTCTCCGCTTTTTTGAATGTTGGTGTATTTTCTAAATGGGAGTCGAATTTGAAACGCCCTTATCTCGCGCGTGCAGCCCTCCCCCCTGCTTCCAAAACTTGGTGTTATCATGAAGGGGGCGACGGGGTGGGGGGTGGTGCGGACGAGGGGTTTCCGCCCTCGGCCCCGCGGCAGCGCCGGCCCCCCTGTATCTTGCCGATATCGGACTGGAAGTCTGGAGGCTGGGGTGGCATC